ACCGCGGAGCGATCCTGTCTGCCGGGCAGCCGACCCCGGCAAAGGCCGGCTGCTCGGCCACCCTGCGCCATGTCGGCAGGCCCGACACGGCCTTGCACCCGGTCGACGAGGCGACACATGAGGGGCACTCCGCGCGCCCGGACGCCCGGGAAATGGGCAAGGGCCCCACACCCGAGGCGAGCGGGCTGCAGCTGCCCCGGGGCGCCGACCGCCGCCACCCGGCCAGGCTTCGGCCGCCGCGCTGGTGCCGCATATCCCGCGGCCGACCGGGGCGGCGCCCACCGGGCGGCGCTGCAACCCGGAGGGCCGACACGCCGAGGCTACACCCGTCGGCCCGGCCCCGGCCTCAGCACCCAGATCCATGCTCCCGCCCTCGGCCGCTGGCAGGCACTCGTGCCCTCGGGGACCCGCCCCACGACCGGGCCACCCCCCGGCCCGATCAGGCGCGGGCGTGGCTACTGGCCCGCACCCAGGCCGCCGGCTCTGGCTAGCAGGGCAAAAGGCCGCCCATCATCCTTTGGCCGGCCGGGGGAAGGCCAGGCCAGTGACCCTCCGGGCCCGGGCCGGCAGGATGTCGGCCCCCCGGTGCCATGTCGCACGGAGCGCACCTGCTTGCTGGACGCTGCCAGGCCGCCAGTCGGGATGCCTTGGCCCATGTCGACGGCCCACCTACCCAAGCAGCCCCCCCCCCCCCTCCCGCCCCCCTCCCAAGCGCCGGCCATGCGCCGGTCGTGTCGAGGACCCGGCCCGGCGGCTGGTGCGCCCGGCTTCAGGGCTCGGCTGACCGCCTCACGCCCGTGGCCGATGCCCGGGCCATCGCCGGGGCGCCGGCGGCCACCCGACACGCAGCCCGACCATGCCGGACATCGTGGCGGCGCCTGCTCGCCCCGGCGCCCCACTTCACCGAGGGCGGGCCCTTCATGGAGGGGCGTTCGGAAGCCGTGGCCCCCGGTCGGATTTCCTGCCCGTGTGCACCTGGGCGGCGACGCCTTTCCCCGGAGCACATGTCCACGGGCCCTACACCGCGCATGTGCTCCCGGTCGCCAAGGCCCGGCAGCAAGCATCCCCACCCGACCTAGGGCAGACTCGGGATCCTCGAGCCCCCGCCCCGGAGCAGGCCCACGGCACATGGCCCAGGACGGCGCGCGCCGAGTCGGCGCGGCCCATGCCAACAGGCAGGACGGCCCCGCAGCATGTCCCCCCGCCACGGGGCGCGCCCGGTCACCGCCTCCGGGCACCGGCCTCTCGGGGAGGCCCCCTCTCCCGCGACCCGGGCCCGATCGGCCAGCACGCTGCCCCGGGCCCGGGCCCGTCCGTCATGTTGACCGCCTCACCCACTGCCAAAAGCCAGGTCTGTCCGGCATGGCAATCGGCGTCGCCCAGGCAAGCAAGCCGCACGACCACCCACCGCCGGAAAGGGCAGCACTCTGGCCCATGCCCTGGCCAGCCGGCAGGACCCCCCGCCGCGAGGGGCAGGACGCCATCCCCCCGACCAGGACTTGTCAACGATGGTGCTAGGGGGGGGTGGAAAGGGCCCCGAGGGCCTCTCGCCCCTGCCGCCACCGAGGGTGGGCGGGGCAATCGATCCGAGGGAGCGCCCTGCTGACCCGGCCGTCGGCGCAGCCCCGCGCACCACGGCCCCTCCCGGGGCACCGGCGCCGGCGGCGGGGACCGGGCACACCTTGGTTGCCGGGGAGGCAGCATGCCGCAAGCACGTCCGTCACATGCCGAACGGAATGGACCCGTCCGACCGCCACGGCCTCCCTGGAGCTGCTTCCATCCGGCGCCCCGGCGGACACAGACACCCGCGTGTGCCCCCGGACGATGGCAGCCAGCGCCGGCTCCAAGACCCACACACCAGCAGCGCCCCAAAGCCGCGCCCGGCCCGGGGCAGGACCCAATCCTCGCCCCGATCGACCGGCCCCCTCTCGCGGGGAAAGGCCGGCCGTGTGCTACGCGCCCTCCCCCAACCACACCTGGCCGGCGGTCAACCCACACACAGGCGAGGGTCACCCCCCTCACGCGTCGTGAGAGCACGCCCCGCGCCGCCAAAGGGCCCCTCTCGCCTCCCGGGGAGACGAGTGCAAAAAAGATGCTCCCGATCCGGGAATTGAACCCGGGCCTCCCGCGTGACAGGCGGGGATTCTCACCACTATACTAATCGGGACTCCACTGGAAGGTGGCCCACCGCGCGGGCTCAAGTGTCGCCGGGATGCGGCCCTTGTCCCCGGCGAACGGGCGCGCTCCGCCCCGGCAGCCTTTCCTGCAGCCGGGGAGGGGCGCCGAGTGGCTCGACATCCGCCTCCGTCGGCCGCCCAACACCTGCCTCCGCATTGCCCGCGGGTCACCGCTCGCACATGGCCAGCCCCACACGCGGCCAGACGGCCTGAGCACTGCGTCCACACACACTCACACACACATGACACCAGGCCTCCCGACAAATAAACGCCAAAAGAGCGACGCCCGGCAAAAAAAAAAAAAAAACCTCGGGGATGCATACCCCTCGGACAGGGGTGCCAGGCTCCGCGACCGTCACCAGCCCCCGAGCCATCCGCCCTCCCCTCCAGGCCGCCCAATGCACGCAGCCCATGGGACAAGGGGGATTGAGCCCGGGGAAGGGGACTTGCCGGGGACGCCATTTCGGACCCGGTCATGCACCTTCCACACGCCACCCGACAACGAGGGCGCAGGGCAAACGCGATACACGCCGGCCGGACATCCACGCCCAGGTGGCGTCGGCCGCAAGATCCCGGCCCTCCCGATGGCACGAGACTCCAAGCAGGCGCGAAGCAGACCACCCCCCTTGCGCGTGGGCGACGTGTCTGGCCTCGGACTTGCGCACGGTGTGCTGGCGACGCGGCGAGGCGCGGCTGCCCGCCCAGCCGGGGCCCGCGGGTCCACGGCTCACGTATAAATACGCCCCGGTGTCCCATTCCACCATGTACAGCCTGTTTAGCTCAGTTGGTAGAGCATGGGACTCTTAATCCCAGGGTCGTGGGTTCGAGCCCCACAGTGGGCTTACATCTCCTTTTTGACCGAGCACCGATCTCAGACCCCAGGGGCCAGGAGAGAGAGTCGCTCCTTTTTTTTGCCACACGGAAAGGGTCCACCGCCGGCAGCCGCCGCCGTCGTCGTCGTCGTGCAGCGATGTCGCGCCAGAAACAAACCAGCCCAGGGCCGCGGGCAGGCAAACGGCGCAGGGTAGCCCCTCCCCCCCCCTGGGAGGGCACACGGATGGACCCGGCGCCCGGGAGATCCGGCTTGCCGGAGTCGGCCGCGGGGCGGGTGGCAGACACCCGGCCACATCTCGAGACACCCCTCTGTGCGCCACCCAGGCGGCAGGCGAGCAGGTGCTGGGGAGAAACACCGGGCGGGGCGCATCGCCATTGACCAGGCCCTCGGGGGCGGCTGGGCGAGGCGCCGGTGTTCCCTGCACGGGGCCGGGCCTGGGCAGCAGTCTGCTCCTCCCCCGGGTGGGGGGATATCCGGCCCGGGCGCACCATCATGCGGGGCAGACTTGGAAAGGAGGCGGGCGACGAGCGTGCTGCCCCGGCGGGGGGAGGGGGGGCTTTCCGATGCCCCGGGCAAGGGGGGGCTGTGTGCGGGTCCCGCTTCCTAGGCGTCGCTTCCCGGCGCCGGTGTCGGTCCTGGCGCGGGCCGCGTTTTGCACGAAGGTGTCTGCCTCCGCCGGCGAGAGCACGCGGGGGGCGCCGGACGCGGCCGCCCCTCCGACCGGTGAGTACATGTACCCAACGCGATGTACGATCCCCATGTCCGAATGATGTAGATGGTTATCATATCTGTCTAACACACAGAATGTCCCAGGTTCGAGTCCTGGTTCGGACAGTGTTTCCCTTTTTGCCCCGCAGCGAATGGCAGGCCGTTATCCCGCACCAGCGCGCGATCAGAGACCTACACCCTGGGGAGGCCCATACAAGGCAGAGCAAGAGCGAGAGAGAGAGAGAGAGGGAGAGAGCACCACACCCAGCCCAGAGAGGGGAAGCTCTCGCCCCCGGGCATGCGAGCGCCGGGGTGGGGCCAACACGCAGGGGTCCGGTCTTCGGGGGGAGAAGAAAAGCAGCGGCTGCCCACCGGAGGGGGGCGGCGGGGAGGCAGAGTCGGTGGAAATCCCCGAGAGATGGCCAACTGATGGAGGCGGCCGGACCAGCCCCTCGGGGACCGGAGGGGGAGGGAGGCGCGCCCTCAAAAGGCAATCAGCGATAAAAGGCAAATGCATTGGTCTTTTGGATACTGGAGGCGGCAATGGGGGGGGGGGGCGTCGGGGGCCGGTCGCGGCGTCGGGGCCGCACCGATCCGATCGTTGGCATATCGCTCGGGTTGAGACGCTGGCCTCGCGGGCCGCCGCCCGGAGAATGAGAATCGGCGGAATGTGGCGGGCGCTGTGGTGGTCCAGAACCGATTGAAGACCGAAGAGGGCATGCCAAAGGCATGGTCATGGGGCCGCCGACGTGCCGGCGAGATCCCGTGTCCGCGCACCAAGAGGGTGGCGCGACCCGGCTCGCACGAGTGCCCTCCCTGCAGGACGAGGCCAGGCAGAGACACCGACGAGGGGAAAAGCGCCCACAGGCCGGGGACATACATTGGCAATCGAGTCCCGGCGGGGGGGGGGGGGGGGGGGGGCCAATGCAGGGACCATCCGATCGCCGCACGACTGGCACGCCGGGGGGGGACACCACACCAACGCCATCATGAGTCACTGGACGCAGTCATCTGACATGTGTGTCCCATATAGTCTAGGTGGTTAGGATACGTGGCTCTCACCCACGAGACCCGGGTTCGAGTCCCGGTATGGGAAATACCTTTTTTGCCCGGGCCGCCCCGCGCTGAACGAGAGCAGGCAACACAAGGGGGGGCTGGGCTGGGCGCGCGCGCGCGCGGGCCACAGGGAGGGGAGAACCGCCCGACGAAGCGTGCCGCCTCCAGGATGCGCCCGGGGGAGGGGCGGCAGGAAGAAATGCCCCCCCCCGGAGACCGGCCGCTCACTCGCGGCGCGGCCGGCGCTCCGCGGCGTGGACCTCCTGCGCCCCGCCAGGCGGCAGCACCATGGCCGCCACCCGGGCAGGCGCCCCCCCGCCCAGGAGCCACTCGCCGAAGAGGGTCCCGGCCACGGCGGCCGGCATGGCCACCGACGCCGGGCCGGTCACCGGCGAGGACGCCGCCGCCGGCTCGTCGACAGCGCCCGGGTCGCCCCGGCGGAGCAGCCCCACCAGGAGGGCCACCTCGGCCCGGATGGCCGCCACCCCGCCGGCCGCGCAGCCCAGCGCCACCACCGACCGGACGTCCTCCCAGCCGAAGCCGAAGCCCAGCCAGTCCATCAGCCCCACGGTCAGGGCCAGCTGCCGGGCGCGGCCGCCCGCACCGGGGGCCTCCGCCTGCGCCGGGTCCTCGGCTCCGGCCCACCCCCCGGCCGCCTGGGCCACCACCCCCACCAGCAGATCTCGGTAGTCCGCCGGCACGGCCCCCAGCAGGCGCACATGCGCCAAGGCCCCGGCCGCGTCGCGTCGCCAGTCCCACCCAAACGTCCCGTCCACCTGCCGGAAGAGGGCATCCGCCTGGGCGAAGGTCGGCTGCAGGGCTCGGCACAGGCGCACCGCCTCCCGCAGACGGATCGCCCGCCCGACAAACCCCCCGGCACGCGGGAAGAGACTCCACCCGGCCGGCGGGAAGGGCGCCCCCTGCCCGGGCCGCTCATCCTCCGGCTCCCAGGCGAAGAACATCCGCAAGTCCCGCGGCCAGGGGGCCAGCGCCCGGAAGGACCCCGGCTCCGGCACCGACTCCAGCACCCGGGCGAAGGTGGCCCAGTGCACCTCGCCCTCGTCCGGGTCGCCGGCCTCGCCGTGGCCCAGCTGCTGCCCCAGCACCCGGGCCATCCGGTCGTCCAGCACCAGCCAGGCCCCGACCTCGGCATCCTCATTCGGCGGGAAGCACAGCGAGAAGAAGTTGTTGTACCGGAGGTCGCGGTCCTGCGCCGAGGCCCGGCGCTCGGCCAGTGCCCGGCAGAGCTCCGGCTCCAATGCCGCCAGCTCCGGCTTCGCCGCCAGACCCCGCAGCAGCTGGCCCACGCGCCGGTCATGCTCGTGGGCCCCGGCCGCAAGCCGCAGGGCCGCGGCCCACCTCCCCGCCGGGCCATGGCGCTCCAGCAGCAGCAGTAGCCCGGTGGTCGCGGCATCCACCGCCGCCGCCACCGCCGGCCGCGGCTCGCCCCCGGACGCCCACTCGTCCAGGCTTTCGAAGAGCAAGCTCCGCACCGACTCGCCATCGGCCTCGGCCTCCAGCGCGCCCGGGTCGCGCAGCCAGAAGGCCCGCCAGTCGCCGGCCGGCTGCGGGGAGCCATCCACTGTCATGCTGTACGGTTGAGACGGTGCAGGAAAAGTCGTGTGTGTGTGTGTGTGAAGTGTAATGGGGGGGAGAGGGAATAATGGGGCCCCCTCCGAGGCAACACACACACACACACATATAAAATATATATATATATGCATGCATGCCCCGGGCGCCGGGACGAGCACGGGCAACACGCACCGCCCTCGCTTTCGCGCCCGAGGGGCCCCCGGCAAAAGAGCCCAACAATGGGGGGAATGGCTCTTTGAGCGGGGATTCGCCGGCCCCGCCCCTCGCCCCCCCCCCCCCCCCCCCAACAAGATCGCGCCGGCAACGCACACACATCCCCCGGACGTGGGCCGTATGCCCGGCTCCACCGCGGGCGCTTCTCCTATAAATGCCCAGGCGCATGCGGCCAACCCAAGGCCCCATAGCTCAGTTGGTTAGAGCGTCGTGCTAATAACGCGAAGGTCGTCAGTTCGATCCTGGCTGGGGCCAGCTTGCTTTTTTGCCCCGGGGCCCGCGCCCCAGGCCCGATCGCCCGGCGAGCGGTCTCCCACCGCACCGGTCGAGCGAAGGGCCGAGCGAGAGCCCCCCGAGCACAAGGGCCGGCTCCCGGGGCTCTCCCTCCCCCAGGCCTCTCGCAGGACGTGGCGCTCAGGCTGCCCCGCGAACGCGCGCGGCCCCCTCGGTGGGTCGAAAAAAACCCGGACAACCGGCTGCCGACGAGCTCTGCAGCACGCATAGACCCCCGATTTCTCCCCGCCCGCGCCGCCTCCACACGCCCCTCCTTGCTGATCGAAAAGAGAAAGAGAAACCCTCCGCCCCCCTGCCCACCGGCCCCGTCGCGCCTGGGCCTGCCCGTCTTTCGCGCGCGCGCGCGCGCGTCACCCCCTCCCTCCTCCCCCGAGCGATGCCCCCCGGCGCCGATCCGGGGGCGCCCCCGGCCCCCGACCCGCTGGCCCAGGACGAGAACCTCATCGGCAAGTACCACCTCCTGAGCCGGCGCCATGATGATGTGCGTCGACTGCCCCCTCCGCCCCGCTCTTCCGGCGAAAAGCCCCTCACCCTCGCGCCATCCCCGCACAGGTTACCCAACAGCTGTCCAAGGCACAGAGCCGCATCGCCGAGCTGAACCAGCAGCTGAAGGCCGCCCGCGATCAGGCCGCCCTTCAGGCCTCGGCCGAGGCCGATCGCATCCGCCGCGGCGAGAAGGCCCTCCGCTTGGAGCAGGAAACCAGCAGCCTCCGATCGCGCATGGAGCTCCCTCCGGCCGCCGCCGCCGCCGCCGCCGCCGCCGCCGCCGATGCCACCGCCGACCCCGCCGGACCCGGCACCCTGGTCACCCTGCCGTCTCTTCGGCCAGGGCGCCCGTCTTCCGGGCACTGGCCAGGCTCCGGCTCCACCCAAGCCGGCCCCGGGCCCGGACCCGCTGCCGCCTCCACCCCCTACGACTATGACCCGCTCGGGGCGGCCACCGCCCGCGCCGGGTCCCAGTGGCTGGCCACACAGCGCTCGCCCGTGGCCGGTCCCCGGTCCGCCGCCTGGACCCAGCCCCCATCACAACAGCCCCACCAGCAGCAGCAGCAGCAGCAGCAGCAGCAGCAACACCCATACACATTCTCGCCCTTGGCCTCCCCATCGGCCCTCTTCTCGCCGTCGCCCCTCCTCGGGCCGGACCCCTTCCTCGGGGAGGACCCGCCGCCGGGCCCGGCCGAGCCGCCGGCCCCACCCTCCCCCTGGGACCCGGCTGCCGCCCCGACCGGGCTCCTGTGGCCGTCGCTCAGCGAAACGCTCGGCCTTTGGCACCAGGCCGGCCGCGAGGCCGCCCACCAATCCCTCGGCATGCTGGCCCTCGAGGCCGGCATCGATCCGGCCTCCGCGCTGGCTGTCCTGCACGATGCCCCGGCCCGGGGCTACACACGCCCCGGCCCGGACCAGCCGGCCCAGCGCCTGGACGACTCGACGGCCCTGCTGCTGGAGCTCCTCCTGGGCCAGGTGCAGGGCCTGACCCGGGCCTGCCTGCGGCGCCCGGCCTCCGAGGTGGCCCAGCAACTTGACCACGCCCTGGCCCTGGTGGCCGGGCTCACCGGCACCCACACCGGCCACGCGTACCTGTCCGAGCGCCTCCTCTGCGGCAAGGCCCCGCCCCACCGCTGGGGCGTCGAGCCCGGGCTCCAGACCGGCCCCTCCCCCGCCGAGGGCCCGATCAACCTCTACTCGACGCTGGACCTGGTGTCGCGCATGCTGGCCACGGCCGTCGCCACCGCCGCCACCGCCGACACCGCCGACACCGCCGACACCGCCGACACCCCTGACCCGGACCACCCTGCTGCCCCCGGGCCTGCCGGCACGCACCCCCGCTCGCCGGCCGCCCCATCGGCCACCAGCGACTGGCCCGCATGGTGGATCCTGGCCGGGCGCATCCTGGCCCGGCTGACCGCCCTCCTGTGGCAGCTCCTCCGGGGGAATGTCTCCGGCTCGGTGCCACTCCTGGCCGCGGTCTTCGGGCCCCTGGACCAGGGCCACTACGCCGAGCCGGCCCCGGCCAGCCCACACACCCCGGCCGACGACCCGCCGCCCGGCCCGGCCGACCGCCTGGCCGACCGCATGCGCCGGGTCCTGGACCGGCTGCTGTGCGCCGCCGTGGCCGGGAGCGTGGTCCTGGCCGAGGCCGGGCCGCGTGCGCGTTTGGACGCCGCCGCGCGCCGCCTCGCCCCCCCGGCCCCGGCCAGCCCCATCACCACCGAAGATGTGGCCCGGCTGGCACTCCAGCTCTGGGCCTTTGTCTTTATGACCGACCGCGCGGCCCTGCCCCCGTCGTCCGTCCCGCTGGCCGGGCTGGACGCCCTCGCGGCCCGGGTGGCCAACCTCGGCCCCCGGCACTTCCTCGACACCCGGTGCTCGGACGGCGGCCCGGCCACCGCGGCCAGCCTCCCCGGCGACCCGACCGCCTTCGACCATGATGACCACCACGATGACCGCCATGTGCCAAGCCCCCGGCGCTGCCACTGGGGCTGCCGCCCCGCCGGCCACGCTGGACCCGCCCCCGGTGACCTGGGCTTCCACAGCCACACCCTCGAGCTCCCTCTCCGGCGACTGTATGTTGTCGGGGTGGGCGACGACGCGCGAGACCGGTGGTATGGCTGGCGCGCGCCCCTATCCTCCGAGCGCCGGCGCACGGCCCTCGCCGCCGCCGCCGCCGCCGCCGCCGAGCAAGCTGCCGGGCCCGAGGGCCCCCCGGCCTCGCCGGACCCGTCGGGCTCCTGCTCCCCCGCCCCGGAGGACCCGCTTCTCTTGAGCCCCCTCCTGGCCCCGGCCCAGCCGGTGGTCCTGTATGCGGACCACTTCCAGGAGGCCGCCCTGGCCGGCTGCCAGGAGCGCCTCCCCCCGGGCAGGTCGGCCTGCTGCACGGTGCAGCCCTGGTCCGAGACCCTGGAGCTGGGGCTGGCCCTGCTCCGGCTCCATGCCCTGGTGGACACCAGCTTCGTGGCGCGCCTGCTCCTGGCGCCGCGCGGGGCTCCCGCCCACCGGGCCAATGACCGCGCCACCCCGGACCGCGTGACCCTGTCCCTCTTCGCCTCCAGCCGGCCGGACAATGCCCTATCGCGGGTGTGCGCGCGCCTCGGCCTGGCCCTCGACACGGTGGTCGGCTGGCAGGCCAGCCACCTGGCATGCCGGCGCCCTGGCACCAGCCCCTGCCCCGGGGCCGGCAGCCTGGCCGAGGACGCCTCGCAGCAGCTCGCCCACCGGTGCCCGAGCGCCGACTTTGCCCGCTCCGTCGCGGCCCTGGTTCGTGCCCTCCACTCGCTGGTGCTTACCCCGCTGCGGTACTGGCTCCGTCTGTCGAACCAGCTGTCCTCCGAGGCCGCCGCCGCTGCCGCCGCCGCCGCTGCTGCTGCTGCTGCCACCCAGGCCCGCGGCTCCTCCACTCAGTCTCCCCCGCCGCCGACCGGCAGCCAGGCCGATGACCAGCCGGCCCGGCCGGCCGACCCGGGCGCCGAGGACTGGATGATCCTCTTCCAGTCGCTCTTTTTCGGCGGCATCACCCGGCAGACGGCCCAGTTTGTCGGCCTGCCGGCGCTCCAGGCGGCCGGCTGCACGCGCTCCGCCTCAGCCCAGAGCCGCTTCCGCGTGGTCCTCCAGGCAGTCGGTACGTGGCCCACTCCCCCGGACACCAGGGCGCCCATGTGCGCCCTCCTCCGCGGCCTCTCCCCCCCCCCCCTCCTCCCCTCCTGTCCTGACTGATCGGTGTGTTCAGCCAATTGCCGACTTCTGGCCGAGGTCCTTCGCGGCCTCCCTTGTCCTTGTATGCCCCCGGGCGCGACGGCCCACACCGCGTGCGCTCCTGCCCCGACCGGCGGCGCCGGCACTGGCCGTGCCGATGTCCTCGCCCGCCTGTCAGCCTACTCCTCAGCCCTCCTGTCTCAGACCCCGGCCATGTGCCACCTGGAGGTGTTCGGTGCGTCTTGCCTCCCCCTTCGCCCGTGTGTGTGTGTGTGTGTGTATGCGCGCGCGCGCCCACCTGCTAACCGAGTCCCGACATATCCCCCGCACGCTGGCATATACCCATAACCACGCACACGCACACACGCATAGCATGTTGCGTTGAAATCCAAAACCACCTCAGCATCTAGCACCAAATACACCATAGATTCCAGTCATGTGTCGGCACGTGATGACGTGGACGCAACGATCCCCCGAGCGAGCTGCGTCTTTTCGACGCTCGCGCAAGTGCCGGGGGGCCGTTGGGGACGAGGCGAGGGGGGGGAGGGGGGGGAGAACCGGGGACAGATGGCACTCGACGCACAGGGGGAGCCGGCTGTGGGGCGGCCCCGCTGATCGGGCTTTTTCTCCGGGGCAGTTGGCGTGTCGCGGGGGCTGGCCCGCCCTCGGCACATCCCCCCCCCCCCTCTCCCCGGCCTCCTGCATGCCCGTCCGCATACACCTGCGCCTCTCGCCCCACTCCGCCCCCCTTTTCGTCATGTCTGCCCCCCAGGATGTAAGTTCCCCCCCAGTCGCGACCTCCGCCCTCTCTCTCTCTCTCTCTCCCTCCCCCTCCCCCCGGCCCATATGCACCCTCACCCGCTTACACACATGCGCACCCACTCTCCATCAGGCTCCCCCCGGCTGGGCCGTTATTGCCTCCTCCTCGCGCCCGGGGAAGTACTACTACCTGAACAAGGCCACCGGCGCCACGCAGTGGGAGTACCCGACGCAGGCGGCGGCCGCCGCCGCCGCCGCCGCCGCCGCCGGGCCCGCCCAGCCGGCCGCCGCCAAAGTCCGCGCAAGCCACCTGCTGGTGAAGCACCGCGACAGCCGCCGGCCCTCCAGCTGGAAGGAGAGCGTCATCACCCGCTCCAAGGAGGAGGCCCTGGACCTGATCCGCTGTACGCCGGGTCACCCGCACGCGCGCACGCCGGCCCTCCCCCGCTCCGACCGTACTGACCGCTCCCCCCTCGGCTCTCGCCCCCCCCCCCCTCCCCCTCTCGGCACAGATTATCAGAAGGAGATTACCGAGGGTCGCGCTACTCTCGCCACCCTGGCTACCACCGAGAGTGACTGCTCGTCGGCCTCGCGCGGCGGTGACCTCGGCTTCTTCGGCCCGGGCGATATGCAGCAAGCCTTCGAGGTTGCCACGTACGTGCCCCCCCCCCCCCCTGTTCCCATGGCGCGCACATGCCCCGGGCGCCTGTTCCTGACAATGTGCATCTATCCCCCCCCCCCCCTCTCTGCGCTCTACTACCATGCTCCACACAGCTACAAGCTGAGTGTCGGCGAGATCAGCGACCCCATCTTCACCGACAGTGGCATCCACCTCATCCAGCGCACTGCCTAGGGGGATCTCCGGCCTGGCGCCGGGCACGCCTGCCGCTTGCGCGTCCCCCCTGCTGGCACGGGCACATGAATGACCTATTTTGCTCCCGCCCCCAATCATAAATCCACAAAAGGTGATGTTGTTGCTTTCCCATCGGTGTCGGGGGTGGGCGAGGGGATGGATGAGTGGATGGATGGTTGGGTGGGCGAAGGGATTGATGAACGAACGAGAGGAATAATGAACGAATGAACAAATGCACGAATGAACAAATGTACGAATGAACAAATAAACAAAAGAACGAACGAATCAACACATCGATGAAGATAGGAATGGGCCCCACACAGAACCGAAAACCGAGACAGCAACAGGCACATGAACCGGCCGCCGAGACAGGGAAGACAGCGCAAAAAGTGAAGTGTCCAACCAGCCGGAATCGAACCAGCGACCCTCAGATAATTGCTTGTAACCGCTACAGTCTGATGCTCTACCAATTGAGCTATGGTTGGTATGAATGCACCTCCCTGTCGGGGCCCTTTTTGCCGGTGCTTTTCCACCCGGACAAACGACCAGACCCGGCGATCGGCCCCTGCCGCCGCCATCGCCGCCGTCACACCGGGAGAGAAAGACACAAAACGGCAGAGGAAGAGAGAGCGGAAGAAGGGCCCGGCAGATCGCAGCCTCTGGAACAAAACCCAAGCAACGTGTATTTCGTACACCGAAGACCACCTCGGACTTCACTGCTTCGATGGCGGAGACGCCTCAACAACAGCCGGGGCCTCGCCCTTGTCGGGCAGCTCGGGGCCGGACGGCGGCGCCGTCTCCGCCGACGCCGACACCGCCGCCGTGCACGGCGCCGCACTGGGCTCGGGACCGGCAGACTTCGATGGCTTCGGCTCGGGGCTGGCGGACTTCGATGGCTTCGGCTCGGGGCTGGCGGACTTCGATGGCTCCGGCTCGGCGCGGGGGCGCTTCGGGCCCGGCGCCTCGGGGCCGGCTCCCGGCGACGCAACGGCCGTCTCCCCGGCAGCCAGCTTGGCCTGCTGGCGCAGGCGCTTCTGCCGCTCGCGCTTCTGCCGGTTCTTGTTGGTCCGGTCTTCGGCCTCGCGCTGCCACTGGCTGTCCTGCTCGGCCAGCCGGGCCATACGGTCGGCCTCCTCGGCCTCGTGCAGGACGAAGGCCTGGCGTTCTAGCTCCCGCCGGCGCTCCACCCGGTACGTGTGGAAGTCCCCGGACCCGGACCCGGCCGACGAGCCGGACACATCGATCTTGAAGTCGGCCACACGCGGATTCCGCACCGACGCATTCCGCCGCCGCGCCTCTTCGGCACTCATGTACACGCTGGCCGGCAGCTGGGGATTCTCCTTGGACATGAGCCGCTGCAACTCGGCCCGCTTGGCATCATACGGATCAGACACTGCATGCGCGTGCGCATGTCCACCAGCAGGGGACACATTTGGGGAGGTCAGAAGGGGCACCGAAAGCCGCAGGTGCAGATGAGGGCCAAAAATCCGAAGGCACACGCACTGGCAATGGGCGACAATAGAAAAGGGGAGACCGTGTGCGTGTGTGTGTGTGTGTGTGTGTGTGTGTGTGTGTGAGGAGAGGGGGGGGGGGAGGGGAAGAGAGGCGAAAGAGGCTGTGGGAAAGGGGCAATGCCCCTCTCCCCCCTCCGGCCCGCCCCCCAGGGGGGGCCTGCGAACTGCGCCGCCAAGAAGGGCTGCCGGACAACCGCCGGGCCGCGTTGGCAGCCCGTGCGTTGGCGCCGGGCCGCGGGGGAGGAAGCCAGCGGCCTGCTCCTTCAGAACGCCTGCCCCGCGCCGCGGGGTGACCCGGTAACACCATTGCCCCACGTGCCGGATCGTAATGCCGTGCCCCGGGGCCGATAACGGGCATCTGACCCGCGCAATTCGGTGGTAGATGGCGCCTCGTTCCGGCCGGCCACCGCCCGGGGAGAGCAGTGGCACTCGTGCGAGCTGCTCCCTCCTTCCCCCCCCCCCCCCCTGCCTCCATGAGGGTCGGGGAACCGCGGCAGGTGGGTTGGCAAGCGCGCCGCGCGGGACCGGCCCAGCCCTCTGCGCGTTTCTCGGGCGGGCCTTCTCGTCAGCGGAGAAGGCCGGGGGGGGGGGGGGAATGCGCGCGCCCCGCCGCGTGCCCGGCCGGCCCGTCTGCCGGACCGGTCCCGCGGCATCCGGTGGGAGCTCCTGTCCCGGTCCTCCGCGGCCCGGTCCCCGCCTCCCGGCCCCCCCTCCCCCCTCCCGTCTGGCGGCGCCTGCGTTCCCGCGCGCACGGCGACCGAAGCCGCTGCCAGCTGCACGGGGTGCTTGTCGGCGACGCCCCCATGCACGGGGCGGTGGCCCTGTGCCGGCGCGCGCCAGCCCGAGCGCGCATTCTGCAGGTGTGCCGCTGCCGGGCCGATACAGGGGGGGTCTGCTCCTGCGCCCTCTCGCCGGCCGGACAAGGCGCATATGGCGCAGGGACGTCGCGGCACCGGTCCGGCAGACCCGGTGTGAAAGTACCGATCGTCGACCAGGCCCGGCCTATGCACCGGACCCCTGTCACTGGCCCGGGGCATTCTTTTTGTTGTCCCCGGTCGGCGGGACATCCCTCGGCCGGACACACGCGCGCGCGCGCACACAGACCCAAGCGCCCCCCCGGCGTCGGACGGGGGTGGGTGAGCCCTCTCGCCCGCGCAGGGGCAGCGAGGCAGCGAGGCAGCGAGGCAAAGAGAGAGAGAGAGAGAGGGAGGGCGAGAGAGAGGGAGAGAGACACCGTCGGAGCCCCGCTTGCCCGAGGGGGGATGTTCCGTGATTCGGCCGCCCCCGCGCTCGGCCCGTGGGAGGAACGCAGCACCGGGGTTATTCATCTGGATTCTTCCAAAAAATGGCCTGGCGAAAAAATGGGCAGGTGAGGCTCCCCGGGAAAAAAGGGGAGAATAATATTGGCCGAGACATACACATATGCGTGCATTCATCACTTCTCCGAGAGGCGCGGCCCCCTCCCGTTGCGCCCCGGGCCCTTTTTCTCTCCCTGTGCGCGTGCATGTGTGTGTGTGTGTGTGTGTGTGTCGGTGCGCGTGGGCCGCGCTCCGCAGCTCACTGGAGGGGCCCCCGCCCGAGAGAGAGAGAGAGAGAGAGAGAGAGAGCGCCTCGTCGACTAGCTTCTGCTTCCAGTCAAGCAGTCCGCCTGGGGCATGGGCACGGGCGCATACGCCTCAAGCTCCCCGGGCCGGTGTGTCGCTGGGCGGGAGTTGCCCCCCCCCCCCCCGCCCCGGCTCCACGGCTTTTTCGTGTCGCCGCCCGGGGCGTGCACGTTTCGGCGGTTTCGGGCGGGCCTCATGGGCCCCCCCCCCCCCCCGGCCCGAGAGGGGGAACGCTGCACCCTTGTCTGCCTCCCCCCTGCTGGGCTTCCCTGGTCCTGGTGCGCCCGGTGGCGGGTCCCCGCGTCTCCCTCGCCCACTCGGCCGTGCCGCGGGAGTCCGGGGGGGGGGGGGGCTTTTTTCCGCCCACGCCCTCGGCCGCACAGTGCGAAGGCCGCGATTCTCGTTACTCTTGCCCGCCCTGGCTCGGGGGGCCAGACCAGTCAAGCCGCTTCACGCCGCGGGGTCCCCCCCCCCATGCGTCAGCCCGCGGCTTCTCGCGTGTCCCTGCCGCGGAGGGGGATCTCTCCCGCGGCGCGGCCTTCCTCGCCCCTTTCTTTCCCCTTCCCGCCCCCCCAAAGAGGGGGATCTCTTTGTGTCCCCCCCCCCCCCCCCGTGGTCGGCGCACCCGGCCGCCAGGGGGGGCTGCCTCGCACCCCCTGCTCGGAGCCTGCGGAGATCACCAGGGGATGCGGGCGGCAGGGGGGGGTCAGACGGCCAGACCCTCCGGAGGGAAGGGGGGCACGCGCGTGGGGGGCCGGGGGCGGCGGGCGGCGGAGTCCGGGACATCCGTTTCTTCGAGGAGAGTGGGCATACACAGACACGCCCGCTGGGCCGCGCGCGCGCGCGCAACCACGGACACCAGAGTGGGGGCTCTCGCTCTCACTCGCGCTCACACCCCCGGCGGCGTCTTTTCGGATGCCGTGGGCCGGCGGCAGGAAATCTGCGCGGCCCACCGCAAAATCCGGGCCTCCTCAGCGTGAACTGATTCGCTTGGGTATCTCCCTCCCCTTTCTCCCCTCCCTTCTTTGTCGCCCCCTTTTCTTTGCCCCTTTCTCTCTCCCCCTCGCTTCTCCCCGCCCGCCCCCCCCCACGCCCGCCCCTCACACCCTGCCTCCTCTTCCCCCCTCTCTCCCTCGCCCGCCCGCCCGCTCGCTCTCCCTCCCCCTCCCCCTCCCCCCTGGCCATCAGATTTCTTCGTGACTCCTGCCACCCCGCCACCATGGTCGACAACAAGCCCACTCCCCTCTTCAAGGTGCGCCTCCTTCCCCCCTCTCCCTGCTGGTGGGCCTTCTGCCCTTGCCCCCCGCCCCTCCCCCCCCCCCCATGCTGACATTGCCCATTTCCCCCCCCCCCCTCCTCCCCTGGCTCATCATCGAAGGTCAACTCCCCGAACGTTACCTACACCGAGGATGCCATCCACTCGAAGTACTCCTATCAGACCACCTTCGTGACCACCGATGCCTCCGGCTCCCTGGTCGCCGAGCCGGTCACCTCGGACTTCGAGTTCGTCACCCAGACCAAGGTCCCCCGCACTGGGTACGCCCCCCCCCCCCCCCCCCCCCCCCC